GAAACGACGCGCATGCGCGAAGTTAAAATGATAAGATGGCGACAATATAACTATCGCACGCACACGCACACACACGCGCGTGCGCACACACACATATATATATATATATATATATCACAATTTTAGCTTTCTTTGATATGTATCGCTTTTTTTTTCAGCCTAAATACTTATGTATTTCCAATTTTGTGTGTATAGCAAATCAAAAACATTTCCAGAGGCCCTAAAATTTCACATGCGATTTTAAAAATAACACTGAAAAATTGTACATTAAAACGATGACGTTCTTTCTCGACAGAGAAGTGACGTGTTGGTGAAGGCCTTCCGAAGATTAATGTGTCCCTGACCATTCTTTATTGAGAAACCGAGTTTTCTGATCTGCTACGATAAAGAAAAATTCAGATACGCACGCAAGGAAGTTGATACACACAATTATGCACACAGCCAGCTGTCTACCTATCTATTTGACTGTCTGTATTATTGGCCGTTTAATTATGTTCTAATATTCGGCATTCGTTGTGCCAGCAGCCAGTGCTACCTTCAGTTGAAATTTATAAAATCTCTGTATTAACTGATCATGATAGCTATTCTATCTATCTTGCGGCCTCAGCCGAGATTGAACTCACCAATACTTTGATTGGTGTAGTTCATAATCTTGTCAAATAGCTGAATTCTTGATGCTTCGCTAGGGCTATCAAGGGTATTTTTATCGTGACCCCATCACTAAATGGATTGCCAACCAAGGCTCAGAGAGACTCCATTCACCCTCCTCTAAGAGCAGGTTTGAATTCAAAGTTTTCCTTCTCTTAGACTAGTTGCCATCCAAGGCTATAGAACCCAGTCTGTCCTGCTATTTACCCATAGCTGGAGGGAGAAGAAAGAGGAATTCACACCTTTCCCAAGGGTGTTAGCACGTAAGTGAATGTAATGGATTCGACTGGAATTCGAACTCGGCTCTCCGATTCCTCAATCCAAGCCGCTATTCATTACTCCACCGTGCCTCCTCCTAAAGCTGATAGCTATTAGGAAGATGTGATTAAATATACTTTAATGTTTCAAAAAATTATTTAGTATTATTATTTAGATAATACGCATTATAACATAGAATATATCGTGGAAAAAGAAATTTTCGGCAATATACGCAATATTTACGTTATTTATGGTTATTTTTTTAAACTTTTATCAAAAACAACCTTCTTGTAGATGTAGTTATGGATAATATTATACATTAATTACTAATTTTTTTAAATTAACAACTATTTGTGTTTAGCTGGTAATATTAATAGTTATCTGCTGATGTGTTAAAATTTTGGAATAATGCAATAATAAAAATTTAAATTTCATCTCTCTGATAAATGTCGCGATCTGTGAATAAGCTAATGCTTCCACAACACTGAATTTTTCGTATGCGATTAGTCACTGAAATTATTCTATATGATACAAAAAATATCGTTAAACATTGTCTTTTCTTTTTCTTCTGTGAAATCCCCCCTCTTCTGTAAACGTTGCATAATGCTGGAAGATCTAGGTCAATCATTTTATTTACAAATCGCCACATCTATTAGGGAGATGTGATTAAATATACTTTAATGTTTTAAAAAATATACAGTATTAGTATTGTTTAGATCATAAGCATTATAAGACAGCAGAAAAAATTATATTATCGAAAAACTAGCAGCATGACCCGGCGTTGCCCGTGCTTGATTCAAAAATCGTACGACTCCTACAGCAATCGCAATCACTTGACTTAAAATATGTTTGCCCTTCCTTGCCTTTAAACGAGTGCCCTTTGCCCTGCTGATGTTACTACATGCCTTACTTCTTGCCTATCTCACACTGCGAATTTTTTCTAAGCTCTATACTAAATATTAAATCTGCTACGAAAAAAGAACTAAACAAAATGAACACAAAACGATCAGCTTTAAAAAAGGACTCGTAACTGGAAAAACCGAATGAAAAAAGAATGTTAACAACAAATACTTTTTCACAACCAACCCAGTTCTGCGGAATCAGAATCAACATTGAGTTTAAGCAAGCGAATGAGCCAATTGGAGTAAAGTGACATGCAGATTTAAATTTCTCCCACTTGTGACGAATGCAGCTATCGATTTTTTTTCATGCTAGCATGCTAGTTAACATACGTGTTAATCAGCTGTTGGCTCTCACACTGGCCAATAGAATCGTCCTGCCTTCTGGCCAGTACAAAATGGCCGAAGACTACATGAAAAGTGCCGTAGAAGCATAAAAATCGATTATTTCCACTATCGATGGGAGTTGGGAAATGCAAAGTCGGTCTTGGCCTTTCCACTAACTTGGAGCATGTGCATGTAAATTTTGGTGAAAATCCGTCGAAATTGCGGCTGTGCATTCGTTACACACACACACACACACACACACACACACACACACACACACACACACACACACACACACACACATCATCTTGGAGATAAGTGGAATTACCTGCGTGTGTGGAGGTTGCGGTCAAACGGGAAATTATATCTAGTGAAACAATTAACCAGTGTGTACAAAAAATGTTATAAAATGGCTAATTTATATCATGAGAATATAAAAAACGAAGATGTATGTGAAGATATCTGATTCAGATCTCTCTAAGATTAGCGAATCTGACTTTTCTGAGTTTTGATTTGCTTCTGTAATTTTAGTAATATGAATTACTTTTATTTTCTATTAATTAATAAATTCAAAATTGTACATTAATTACTAAAAATTTTTAATTAATAACTATTTGTGCTTAGTTGTTGCCATTAATAGCTATCTGCTGATGTATGAAAATTTTGGAATAATGCAATAATAAAAATCTAAATTTTATCTCTCTAACAGATGTCGAGATCTGTAAAATGTTTTTCAGGAAAATAGTTTTCTCGTCTCCAGTAACTGCTAATATTCTTTCCAGAACTGATTGGTTTTTTTTTCGAAATCTTTTCCTCGAATTCTTGGGAAAGTTTTAACAGAGGACCGAAAGGACAACACCGAAATCAGAAGACGCATTGGGGTAGCGAAAGATGCCTTCCAAAAGCTAAGCAAATTATTAAGAACCAGAAAAATATATTGGGATCTGGTGTAACATCAGTTGTTCTATATGGCAGTGGATGCAGGGCAGTCTTCTGGAAGATGAAGAAAAGATTTGTAGCATATCGTTATATAGGCGTTTGCTGAGAATAACATCGGCTAAATATGTGAGCAACGACGAAGTTTTAGATAAAATGGAAACAAAATGGACGCTTACACTTAACATCAGAAAGAGACAGTTAACAGGGCTTTATATTCGGGTAAGCCTCTTTGGGGGATTGAGAAGGGCATAACCAATCAGAGAACCTTTCAACGTCGCTTTCAATGACACAAGGCAAAATTAAGACTCGAATGTGTTATGCCATTCCTCTGTCTCCAAGACATGAGAATTGGCCATCGAAATCCTGGCCTTTAGCTGGACTTGAACACCGACAGATGGTGGGGTTTAGAAACAACCTTATTTTCTATCCGTTGTTACCCAAGCAGAACGATTCAGGACCTCTTAACATATCTTCAACTCTGGCGTCAGGGCTTGGAAAATATGATACAGACAGGACATATTGAAGGCCAGAATAACAGAGGTAATACAACGCATAAACTACCTAACGAGTTTTTATAAATGGATAACGAAACAGGGTTTGGGACAACAGTTACTAAGATCTACGTAGGATAGGAAATTGGGGAGAGCCATGATCGTCAACGTTCTGAAGGGACATGGTACTTAGGAGAAGACGAAGAAGAAGTGTAGAATGTCAGAATTTTGTTTATCTCATGATTTTCGCTTCGTGTTATATGTCCAAACCATTTCAGTTGTTGGAGTTGCTTAAAGTCCTCCCGTGATGTGGTTCCTGCAATTTGGCCCAGTTCTTTATTTCATCTTATATATAAAGTAATATGTAAACTAATATGTATATGTGTATGTTTGTGCGCGTGTGTATCCAAGCAACTCCGCCGCTCCTACTGGTTCGATTTCAATGAATCATAGCTTATTCTAAATCCTAGAAAAGTTAGGGAACGATTTTCGTTGAGCTCAGAGTCAGGGTTGCCAGATTTCGCGAGGTTAAAAATATATATTAATATATTATACTAGCCGTTATCGTTGCTTTCATGGTTCAAGGGGAGCAACTCTTTTTTTTTAAAACATTTGTATCCAAACTAGCTTAAAATTTTAAGCTAGCTTAAAAGACACGCTATCATGCGGTTTTTAAACTAGCTCCTGTGGAGCACTTTTGGTTTAGCCATCATCACAATAGCTAGGGAGGAGTAGATGCGATAGACATCATTAAACTATAGAAGAACTGAAAACTGGTCGCTGCTTTTAAGTATTAGGTTAAAGTTTAAGCTTACCTTTTAAAAGTTCTACGATAATACTTCTGCTTCCACTTAATTTAAAAACCGATTTGATGTACGTAGATCCTTATTTTCCGTACAATTATTTTTATTTCATGTGTGACAGAACAGGGGACAATTTATAAGATTAAATTAATATAGTGTAAAGATGAGAAAATAGAAATTAGAATTAGATATGCATTCAGCATTTGAAGAGTTAGAGAAACATGCAAGCTCATTGCATAAAACCTATATTACGGAATCTATATGAATAAATGTGAATTCTCTCAAGAATTCTGAGATTAAAAATGTCCCGGCTCAAATTTGACGCTGAAAGCCCATTATCTGTATTATATATTGCCTACTTCTAGGCAATATCACTCTTCAGGTTTAACTAATTTGCATATTGATTTAAAAAAAAAATATTTCCTTAATTAGCTGTCCTTCATTACCTTTGTTTTATTCGAGTATTGTTTTGAATTTTATATCAAAAATTGTTTTTTTTAGAAATATTGTCTTATATAGTGCAGAAAAGTGTTTGAAATTAGCATTTTACTTGGCCTTCAAAAATTGTATTCAAGAAAAAAAATATAAAAATGTGTTTTTTAACATATCATTTAAATTTTATGCCAACAAATTGCTATATCAGGGGATATAGTACTTTTTTTTTAGATAAATTATGTATAAATTTAAACAGCTGCCTTTTGTTGCATAAAATATTTGGAATTAAAAACATTACTTTTATCTTAATAAAATTCTTTGTAAATTATATTCTTTAAAATTTATGATATGTTCAATCATAATTCATTTGCCAAACATTATGTATGTATGTATATATTCTGTCACCAAACAGTATACATATATAATAGTACTTAATTTTATTTACAAATATTTTTTAAGTAATAATGTCAAATATTTTCTAAGTTGAATGAAGGTCTTGATTATGGTTTAGTGTCTGATTTCCAGTTCCTTCATATCTTGTATAATTTTGATTATAATTTTCTCATTGGATTATTATGCAATAGCATAAATATAATCTATAGTCAGAACACTAATTTTACTTGTGTACAGTCAATGAGCTTAAGAATATACGGGATAAACAGATATGAAGTTTTGACTATGTGATTAATTTGAAATAGGATTACTTTCTCTTCATTTACAGATTACTTGATAAGGTTCTTGTGTGTTTGAGTCAGTAAAAATCATCTACTGGTATGTTAGATTTTATATAGTAATTTGGGCCGTTGTGTGTGCGGATAAGGTGTGTACACAGGACAAAGACATACTATTTGAATAAAATGTGTGTTTTAAAATTTTCAAATAGTGAATATATCTTATTTGCCAAGTGATAGCGAGCGAGGGAAGCCAGCTATATATATATATATATATATATATATATATATATATATATATATATATATATATATATATATAATTTAGGTTCCTCATGTTTTCCTGTTGTGCCTCAGTATGTCTTATGCGTGTCAAATTCTCTAAACCGTGTTTTCTCATAACGTCTCTACGAAATTGCAAATAACTTTTTCTCATTCTAAGATTCCTTTTTGTTTCCATTTTTAAGTTTTTCCTCGTTTCTCATCCTCTACGCCAGAGGTTTTCCCAGAATACTCTTGTAGGACCATTTTTCTCTTTCCTCAGTTCTCCCCTTTGTCTCTGAGGAAATTTTCCAGCATTCACTACCATATGAGGATTGAAAATACATACCAGTTCAGTACTCTTTTCTAAATTTAATGTCCATCTTTATTAATACATTGTTTAGCTTCGTACGTCCAATAGGCCTTTGGATTTCTGTACCACGTTTTCATTTCTCAGATATTTAAATTTTCGTATTTCTTTTTGGCATCTCAGAAACACTACTTGTCGTCTTGGGATATTGCTGTAGCTGACAACAGTGCATTGTTTTGTTTTTAGTTTATTTTGATGATTTCATTTAGTTTCCCTTTGCGTTGCTACGTTCCGTATGAGATCTTTCAGTTTCCATTCTGTGTCGGCTGTCGACATATTGTCATTTGCATATCATATTTTGTTAAGGTTAATATCGGCAAAAATCAATCCTGGTAGGATTTCTAGTTCTCTCATTGACGCCTCATTCTAAGATTTGAATAAATCCGGTGAGAAGACACATCCTTGGCTTACGTCCCTACACCCACCAAAATGCGGAAGAGTGTATTGGAGTATTAAAGAGGATTGCTGTCAATTGATTTACGAAAGCTAAATGAATAATAATAATAATAATAATGATAGTAATAACAATAATAATAATAATAATGATAATAATAATAATAATAATAATAATAATAAAAATGAAGATAATAATAATAATAATAAGATATAAAAAAGGATAATAATAAGGATAAAATGATAATTGAACAGATGAAATAATAATGATAATGATAATAACCTCTGATAATAATGATAATATCCATAATAATGATAATAATAATAATGTTGATAAAGTTAATAATAATGATAATGGTAATAATGATCTGGATTAAAATGATAATAATAAGGCTTTATTAATAATAATAATGACCAGATAATTTTCACTAGGAATTTTGATAATAATAATAATAATGATAATAAGGTGGATCCAAAATAATGTTAATAATAATAATACCAAGAAACAATAGACCAATAATCTCAGGATGTTAATATAATGCCCCAAATGAAGATAAAAATAATAATAACGATGATGATAATAATAAGGATAATGATAATGATAATAATGATAATAATACTAATGATAATAATAAAATGAGAATGATAATAATAATAATGATAATAATAATCGGATAATAATGGTTAATAATAATAATGATAATAATGATAATAAGGATAATTATACCATCCATAAGACATAAAAATTAAGCAAATAAGGCCGGATAATTAATGATAAAAATAATGATAATAATAAAAATGATAACAATAATAATAATGATAATGATAAGGATAATCATAATAATGATAATAATATAATACCAAGGAATAATAATAAAACTATCAAAATAATAATGATTATAATAATAATAATAAATAATAATAATAAAATAATGATAATAATTGAAAACAAGAATAATACCAGTGGAAAATAGGGGAAAAAAGATTTATGCAAAAATGGAACAAAACAAGCCAACATCTGAAAGTTATCCCGTGAAACCCGAGATTAAAGAGACATACAGAAAAATGTCTTAGGCAGTTTACAGCTTTAAACAGAAACTAATCATGATTCTTTGTCTATGTAAGGTTGACAGCAACTTCATCGTTGAGATAAAAAAAAAAAAAAAAAAAATTAACATCAAGAACAAGGAGATAAAACACACTACGTTCCTGCCACGTTCAAGAACTTTCCCCACAAAACCATTTTAATAGGTAGAATGAAATTCATACTGAATTTCAGGAATGATGATGATAATTATAAATAATAAGTTAATATATGATATATATATATATATATATATATAATAATAATGATAATTTTATTAGGATAATATTAATGTATTTTAATTTTAATGATAACATTTAATATTTTTAATTTTAATAATAATAATGATATTGATTGCGTTTATTTGTTTTGTTTTTTTTTTGTTTTTTTTATGATGCATATCAATTTGGGTCATTTAATGGCGAAAATTTAATTCCTTTCAGAGCATTTGTAATTTCTTTATAAAAATGGGTTGCTAGTAATATTACCGGACAACAAATATATAGATAGTATTTTACTATAAAAATGTATTTTATGCTTTCAGAGTTTTTGCCCGTTTGGGTTAGCAGGGATTTAGGTCAACCCATGAGTCACTGACAATTAAGAGCTGGGAACAAAGTCTCACAGCCCAAGAGTTTATATACCAAACTAACTGTAAATATATATATGTACCGAATATTCGAGTTTGTTTCATCAACTTTTACGAAAACAGCTTTTTTGTTAATGTTACAGTGTGGTTTTG